AGAGGGGGGGGGGGGAAAAAAAAAAAAAAAAAAAGGCAAAGAAAGAAAAATAAATGGAAACTGCAGGACTTCCCATCCGAGGTGCAGAAAAGGAGGAGCATGCAGTGACTCACGAGATATACAAACCACAGAACGTTAATACAGGAGAGAACACAGTTTTCCAACCTGGGCTTCAGCACGGATAGTTTCAAAGAGAAGTTTTTCCTGGGATTGCATGGAAATCAAACACACATAGGAGTGAGGAGAAAGGCGGCTTCCCCGAGACCCCCGCGAGATCTACCAGAGCTCGGGCAGGGCTTGGGAAACGGTGGCCGAATACCAAGCGGGATGGGGAAGGAGAGGCTGGAGCATCTCCAGTCAACAGCATCTGGTGAGAAGAGCCATTCCATCAATGCGGGGACAAACCTGGCAAAAACCTGCTCGTTGGCAGCTATGGTAAGGACAGGAGACGGAGTTAATGGTGCGGCCGTGTCCAGGAAGCCTGTAAGAGGTGGCCCGTAGGAGTGTGGCTGGCGCGGTTAGCTGTGAGGAGGTCAAACACGCTTTCCCCGCAGCCACAAGCGCTCACAGAAGGTACTCTGTGCAGCGGGGGGGTCCCTTCCTCTGGCACTGATGGCAGGAGGAGACGCGAGTGTTACTAACGCGCACGGGGAAGGAGCTGCGGCAGCTCTCTGGAAGACTAAAAGAGGAGGGAAGACGATTCGCTGGCTGGAATTTAAAATCTATCCGAGCCAAACAACTTCTAAATTGAACCCTGGGCTCGTGCTGCCGTGACCCGCGGAGAGGATGGGCAGCTCGTGCTGAACAGTAGCCAGAGGAAAGGGGAAACCCAGCACAACTGAATCCAAGTGGTTTCACAATACCTGGTGGGAATCCAGAGGAGCCTTGATATAGGAACAGTATTTCATATTCCTACGCACAAATTAAAGCCACATTTTCAACCCTCTTTGAAACCTGCACGCGGAAGAGTTAACTCAGCACATCAGCATCCCCACAAAGCGGATCCAAACTAAGCCCAGAGAGAGGGACGTGAGAAAGAGCCGCAGCTTCCAGGAACGGACAGGCTCAGAGAGAGGAAAGAAAGGGGAAAAGGGAAGAGTTACTCCTGCATAGCAAACCAGACAATGGCACAGGCTGCTGACCTCCCCCTTTACCTTGTTACATCGGGAGCAGTGGTGGGGCGAACGTGCTTCATGATGGTCTGGATCCAGTTGCGGCGAATGCCCGACGTCATGGCGGAGAGGGTGAACTCCCCTTCCTTCGTCTAAGGAGAGAGGAGGACCGGCTCAGAGTGGCTGATTGCACCCATCTGCACCTTCCTGCTCCCCCCAACGCCACCCAGCCCCGAGGAACCGCTCGCCGGCTGCGTGACCCAGCCCATCCATCCCCTGCACGCTCACAGTGGGAACTAGCTGTGAACCCAAAACCGAGACAAAACTTCCCCTTTCCCTCTCCATCTTTTGCGAAACAAAAAACTGTCTCTCAAGCCCAACGCCATCACTCTCGGGAGCACTGTGGCTGATGCAGCGTGGCCTCTCTTAGGTGTCTGGGGAGATGTTTCCCGGACGAGCATCCCCATTCCCAAGCAGCTCACAGTGTGAGCAGGCACACCAACCATCCCGCAGCCAGGTTCTTCCTCCTCCCCATGTTTTCCTTACGTGGATCTGGAAGCCGTAGTTTCGCTGAACTGGGTACTCAGTAACATCGTAGCACGTGGATAAATCGATTTCTCCATCCAAGTCAGCAGCCTGGAGAGGGAAGAGGGAAAATAAGCCGTCATTCTTTGCAACCCCAAAGCGCGGTGGGCTCACGGGGAGGCACGCAGCAGGTTCTTGAGAAGCACAAAGCCCTGAAGAGCGATGCTCCAGGACCTCGGCACCTGGGAAGACAACCCGCCCAGGGTCAGTTTGGGAGCACCTGGGGCTCCCCTGGGTGCAGAATGATGGGCTGAACACTGACGGGGATGACACTTACCTCCTCTGCCACCGAATCCCGGTAGTATCTCAGGCTCTGGTCGGTCAGCACAAACCAGTGCTTCTTCCACTAGGAAACAACCAAGACAGGGCAGTTACAATCCTGCTCCCTCCCTGCTAGCAGAGCCCGGGCAACTCATCACATGTCACCCGGCAGTGACACGACACAGGGAGGCAGCTCGCAGCCTCTCCCCTCCCAACGCCACACCCGGCTCTGCGAAGAAGCCCTCTGGAGGGAAGGGGAGACGTGAACAGGAGCAGGGCAAGGGACACCAGGATGGCTGGCACCACCAGGACCCAGATCTCCCCAGTGCTGATGCACCGGCAGAACGCTGGACCCAAAGCCGCACCAACCCTGCGTGTGATGGTGAAACACTGCGAGAGCCACGGGGGCCATCGGAGCCTTCCCGTTAGCTCAGAGACGATGGAGCAAGCGCAGCTTTTAGTGGCTGCACATAAAGCCTCAGAGGGAGCTTTTTTTTTTAAAAAAAAAAAGCAGTAAAACATTCATGTTTTATCTGCAGTCTCTAAAAATGGAGTTGGAGCTTGTTCCTAGCCCTTGTTCTATACAAATATGCCTTCTGCACGCTCCCAGCGAGACACAAGCCTATCCAAGGCAGCTTTCAGGTAATAAAGCACTCGCTCCAGCAGCTGATTCCCTCTCGGGCTACCTACAGACATGCCCTCAGCCCCAGGGCTCAACGCCCCGGTGGGTACCGGCAGCAGAGCCCACGCTACAGCGCTCACAGCTGCGGGGGAGTCGCCCTCGTTTTCCCTCAAGAGGATGAGCGGGATGGAAGGAAATCCAGGGAAGGGGCATTTGCAAACAGCCACCGGCACCCACGTCTCATGGGCACCAGTGCCCGTCTCTGAGGCTCCGACGAGCAGCACGTCCCGCATCCCTCTGGGAATGGACAGGAGCAGCAGCGGCTGCTTGCCTCCCTGCCAGCTCAGAGGTGTTCATTTATTTCTTGGCCTTGCCATTTCCCTGGCACTCAGGAGACTTTATCTGAGCCTCATTACTGATGCCAAACAGGTTGCTGGGTCGCAAGGGAGATGAGACTAACAGAAAACAGGAGCACGAAACCAGTGCTGCTGTCCCAGCTCCCCAGAAACCCACGACACGATACCCAGCTGTGGGGCTTTGAAACCTCCCCAGGACAGAATATCACCTATTCCTGCTCCAAGACAAACCCCATCTGCACAGGGCTGGCCCACAACCACTGCAGCCTGGCTCCCGAGCTGTCCCGATTCCCTCCTGCTGCTCTGCCCAGGTGCCCACAGCTGGTTTCTCCCCCCGGAGCACAGCCCAATACTGATCTACCCTGCAAGGACATCGGGGCTTCACCGGCGCCCAGAGCAGCCCCTGCACAGCCGGGACGTTGGAGCGGGTGTCAGCTGCCAGAAACCGGGACCGGCCACTGCAACGAAGACCGAGGTGAGGGGATGAGCTTCCCCTGGACTCACCTGCCCGTCCTCATACTGCTTTGTCAACCAGCCCTTCTTGAAATTCAGCAGGTCAGGCTGCAAGAAAGGAGAGAGGGGATCAGAGGGGAGGGTGGGAGCATCCGCGCTCAGCAGACAACAACAGCGGCTTGATAAAACACAGCGCAGCAATAAAAGAGACCAGCAACACTTAAACTGGATCATTATACCGCACAGAGCTAAATGTTTGCTCCCAGGCGGAACAGAGACCCGCCGGATGGTTTATTCAGGCTGTCCCCTTCCTAACATTTCTCTTGTGATTTCCTATCGCTGCACAAGCTTTACAGGGGAAAGAGAAGCAAGGAATTAGCAAGACTGCAGGCAGTTTTGTGCCTCTATTATATTACGAAAGAAAATCGCTGCTGTTCATGCAAGGCTGCAGGGTTCAAAACAAAGCTGAGCTCCCAAGGCTGGAAATACAGGGAATCCCAGCACTGCACTGCCCAAACGACACCTGCTCTTTCCTCCAAAGCGGGCGTATGGGGACAGTGAAGCTCTGAGAAAAGCACCCAGGACAGCGTGGGATAACTCCTGCCAGCCCTTCCTCCCTGCCCTGCCCGCGCACGGGGAAGGATGTGGTGGAAACGCTTTCGCTCCCTCGAGGCTGAGCAGGTCCAGCTGCAGAACGCGCTCGTCCACGTGCTGCAGAGTGGAGGGGGAAAGGAGAGCTGTGTGCGAGATGCAGCTGTAGTGTCCGAAACGGGCTATAGCAAGGGGAGCAATGGAAAAACGGGGACTGGAAGCCTATTTAACCAAAACTATGCTATGAGGTGGCATGTCCCACATTTGTCGGCTCCCACGGCGGCAGGAACCCAGCCAGCCCTGCTCCACAAAAACACGGAGGAAAGTAAATGTCACCTTGTCCTTCCCAAATCCCTACGGAATCAGAGGAGGGCGCAGACAGACGCCCTGGGGTCTGCGCATGTGGCTGCGGGTGACAAACCTGCTGAGCCCCAGCAGGACCTGCTGACAAGGTAGCGATAAGCCACAAACTAACTAGAGAGAGAATTGCATTTGCAATGACTACAGCCATCTCTGAACTAGGGTACCAGAGCCGGGCATCCTAATCCCAGGCCTAATTTGCCCTGTGAGAGCGATATCACCATCCGCCTGCTGCTTCTCTGCCCAGGTGCAGGTGCGATGGTGCTCGCAGGGTCCTGTTAAAGCCTTTTCTACAGGAGAGCAACAAGCAAAGAATCTACATTTTGGATCACAAATAACCAGCTCCCAACCATGGGCTTTGCAGAAAAGGAAAACAGAAGGTCTGCAAGAGTTCCAGTTTTCACAGGCGTGTTATTTACCAGCTGGGAAGAAGCACAGGGCAAGAACCTTCTGCAAAAGCAGAGAAATCTCTCCGTAGCAGCGTTTGTATTACTGTGCTACACCTCTCAGTTTCGCCCAAACTGAAGCAAAGCTGTAGAAGCAGCCAGAGAGGAAAGATGCTGCTACGCAATACACGCACAGGTTTCAGACTGGGCTGCAGCGAGACGCTAGGGCAGCACCCAGAGCGGGAAGGTTTCTCCTGCAGGTCCCTCTCCCCCATGGAAACCCCTCTGCTTTCCGCCGAGCGCTCGGGCAGAGAGCGTGGGCTTTGCCTGGAGCTGCAAAGCCACTGAAGCACGAAAAGTTTGGGATCAGTTGCCACTGAAGGGTGTCGACAGTAGAGACCAGACCAGACGGAGCGTTTGATGGAGGAGACACCCCCGCAGCGTGAGCCACAGCTCTGCTGTAACCCACCGAGCCCAACAAGGGATGAGCTCTCCCTCGGCTTTTATCCTGACGGATAACCGATCGGATCTGACCCAGCGAGCCCGATGGGCAGGGGAGGGTCTTGCAATCCCAGTTGCAAGCCAGCAAGCGCACAGGTTTTTCTTATGTTGCTACTTTTATAGGAGTGGCAAAATCAAGGTGTATTTAATGCACAGAAGAGGTTTTCTTCCCGCTGACTGCATGATTTTCCTGCCTTCAGCAGACGATGTACATCGCCACTTAATGTGCACTTCTTGCACCTTTTTATTACCACCAAGAATTTAAAAATCAGTCTTGTGGCTGTACAAGTCTACATGAAAAGCTACTACAGAAATGCCAAGCTACTGCATTTTTCTGGGAAGTCCTTCAACAGAAGCTGTCCGTCCACGAAAAATGCAGCTTGTATTTACAGTGGCTCTGTAACCTTTTCGAGAGATTAGCAAGTGTATTTATTTTGTTCCTACAGGAGGGTGGTGAGTGAGAGGAGAACATTTCGTGTTCGTTCTGTACTGTTTGCCTCCAGGTCTGGCAAGCATTTGAAATATGCAAAGGGAGGACAGCTCGGGAGGGTGGGTTCAGCCCTTCCTCGCAGCCTTCATCTCGCTCACACCACTTGCAACTGCATAAACACCAGGGGAGAGGCACTAGGAAACTAAGCCGTGTGTTAGCTCTCCTTAACACGCCAAGCGTGGAGCCAAGTCACTGAAACTGCCGAATCCAAGCGTAACCGATGTCCTGCGTGCTGGCTATGGGGAAAGCAGCGGACAGCCCAGTTTTCACTGGTCCTGCTTGGGAAGAGCCTCTTCATCCTCCCCCAAGGCAGAGGACGCGGCCCCGGTGGCTCACCGTCATAGAGGACTCTGTGGACCTTCTGTCCAGTGACTTTGCCCGGCGATGCGGGGACAGAGGAGACGTGGACACGTCCAGGATGGAGCCCACAGCGGCACCTTCGCAAGTGAAGTCCTGTGGAAACAGCGTTAGCCCAGATCAGCTCAGGAACTGGGACAGCCAGTCCCACTCTCATGGCTCACGGCACAAAAATCCACATATTTAAGGGGCATCTCAGGCTCAGAACAAATGGCATTTCATTGGCAATATTTTTTTTTTTTTTTGTCCTCTTGGGCATTAATTTGTTCCAAATATCTGGGACTCTCCAGACTGCCTGTTTCTTGTTATTTTAGCCCATCCTGATGTCTCCTGCCATGCCAGATCAGAGGTTTCCCTCTTTTTATTTTGGAGGAAGGAGAAAAGAGCCTCATTTTCCACTCTGACCTGCAGCTGGGCCAAGGGAGCAGAGCACCAAGCAGAAAACCTGCACAGACTGAGCACACGCAGTGGTCTGGCTCCTGCGTGAGCTTGCCTGTGACTCCAGATCCCCTGCTCCATCCTGGGACAAACCCCAGAGCTAAACCCTACAGCTGAACTATCTATCCTGGGCTGCCAGATCCCAGGTGCCATCCTCTGAACCTCACCACGAGATCTCGGCCGAGCAGCTTACCCGTTTCCGTGGGAAAACCCTCTTCTCGCTCCTGCCCTGCCGCGTCTCGCTGGAAAGGGCAGCGCCGGCCGACACGTTCGTTTCCATGTGCTCCGCGTTCTCAATATCTAATGCCTCAAATTTTTCAATTACCTGGGATCGCCTGGAAAACAGAGAAAAAAGGGAAAACCAGAGCCGGTTTAAACACGGGAACAGCAACTGCGCTGAGCTCTACAATCCCACAAATTCAAGGCTGCAGAATTGCTTGACTCATGTTCATTCAGACCCGGCTTTTGGTCCCTGTTTCTCCTCTGCGAGCTCCAGCGTGCACAAATCCAGGGCAAAACACCCCCACCTGCCACTGCAGCCAAAGTGGGGAAAAACCTCACACTATTCAGCTCCACAATTAGCATCTTCTTAAATATCTAGAAAACCCTTGCAAAACCAGCAATAATTTTTTTGCTTGTAAATTTTACAACCCTTTGAGAAGTGGGGATTATTGAGCAGCTTTGGTTTAAGCTTTGTCTTTACTCTCTAGCACTGCGGCTATCAATGGCCCTCCAGGAGCACAGACACATCAAACCAAGCTGGGGTGCAAAGGTAATAGGGACCTACGGGTCACCCTGTATGTTCACTGCAAGAGACACCCTGTAAAAACTCAGCTCCACACCGGTACCATCCGCAAGATTGTACGGGGTGAGGAGCATCCGCAGGTGCCTCCAGACAACGGGTCTGGCTTGCGGGGTGCTCCACCCAAAGAGGCATCAGGAGGTGAGGAGCACCCTGCACCGGCACAGCATCCCCTGCAAAACCCCGGGGCTCTGCCCTCCTCTCAAACTGGTCTGCAAACCCGGGATGGGCAGCAGGGAGCACAGCTGGTGCTGTCGGACACGGCTGCGGTGGCCCATCGCACTGGGGCACATGTGCCTCCGAGGACGGAGGAGAATTATGAAGAAACGTGGATGGAGCAGGAGCCAGCCCCGGATCAAACCCCCATGGGATGCTCCTAAGAATGAGCAAACAGGGCTCTGCAGGTGGAATTAAAAAGCGCTGTTTCAGCATGGAAAGCTGCTCGCTGACCCACAGGAGAGGAAATACTGGAATTTTCGAAGGACGTGCGGGTGTCTAGGTCTGCATGCGTGGGGGTCTGGGGAAGTACCAACCTCAGGTCTTTAACCACAACCTGGGAACGTGAAGCGATGCCCCACCACTAACACACACGCCAGCTGAGCTCCAAGCTGTCAGGTTTAAAGCTCCATTTCAAACCTCCCCAAAAAGCTCAGCCTGGGTGGGTTCTTCACACAAAATCTGGACCCACACGTGTGGGATCTAAACTTGGGGCTGCTTGCTCTGTGTGAGCCTCTAACGTGCGTGAAAATCACACGGCAACCACAGGAGGGGAAACAGGTTATCCAGAAAACCATTTTCACCACTTCTCACAAAAAAGAACAGCAGGTTAAGGACTCAAATACCATGAGTTGTTCAGTTTTCAACCAACATTTGCACCAAATTCCATCAATGAGACCAACACTCTGAGCACGTCACATCCCGCGGCAGGCTGGGGATCCCCACTGCTGCTCAGCGCCAGCTGCCGCAACCAGCGAGGAAGGGACACAATCGTGTGGGGAAGACTTTGCTTTGTAAATCCAAGGGTTTCTGATGTTTTTACGGGATGTCTGTTCAGCCCCTGCGGCCTCCCAGTTTGCAGACTGGGAGCTGGCAGATGCCGGGCTCGCACAGAGCTCCCAGCCCCCCGGGATGTTCTGCTCATGAGATGTCCATTCACATAAACCAGCCTGTGGAGCATAAATCCATCTCCTCCGTTCACCAACAGACAGGGAAATGTTTTGGAGTCACAATTTTTTAACCCTTTTTACACTGGCCCAGCCTTCTCTGACTCTCAGTTTAGGAGGGAGGAAGAGGTCCATGAATGAACATTGTCTGTGCCCTGTTAGGAAGGGAAAACATTGTCTATGCCTGAAGGAAAAACAAATCAGGAGAAAAAAACCCAAAAAAACAAGGCAACCAAAAAAACATAAAACAAAATCAAAAGGAGGTTGATTTCTCATGAAAGGGGCTGCACCACCAGGTTGTTCTACGGCTTGAGATTGAGATGAGATGGTAGCGAAGCAGGCGAAGTAAAGGCGGACACGTCACACAGCAACACAGCAGGAGAAGGTGGAGAGCAACAAGACCTGGAAGAAAACAAGGCTGGAAAATGAATGAACAGAAGAGGAAATTATATCTCTGCATCTACATACAAAACAAAATCAAAATCATCCCAGTAATTCGTCATTGAAAAAACAGGGAGGAGAAAAATAAATCACTGCAACCAAATCACAGCCCCAAGGGTTAATATCATCCAGATTACAGGAAAGAATTGGGATTTTTTTCCCCATTAGCTCGACATTTCAGACAGGTTACTGCTAGAGATCCTGGGGGGCCGGGGAGGGGAGGGGAAGGGCTCTCCTCCCCTCCCCGCCACGCCACGCGGAGGAGAGAGCTGCTCCCTCCGGCCAGCAAGGCTGCGGACGGGTACGAAGAAGCGTTTGAAAGGCTGCGGTGCCACTTAGTGCTTTCTCAACTAACAAAGCTCGTCCCAAGGAGTTCCTCGGCCATGCAGGCTGTTAATGTTTTCCAGGCCACTAAATTCGAGCTGCAGATCTCTGCTGTTAGGTGGAGGGGTGTGTGCAGTGGGAAGGAAAGCTGTAAAAACCAGCACGATCTATCGTTCAAGTGATTTTTCTATGATTGGAAGAAAGGGCTTGTTTTTATTGGATTCATTCGTTATTTAGCAGCAAGAAAGACAGGGAGTGTCAGGAGAAGGAAGAGGAATTTCCCAAAAAGGTCCACAAAAATGAAGAGGATAGTTTTACAAGGAAAAAAAATAAAAGAACTATATTTTGGAGAGCAGGCACTCCTCTCTACAGGGAGCAGCAGCATTCAGAGCAGAGCCTTACATCTCAAGGAGCTCCAGAAAAGGGAGAAAGAAAAGTCTTTTAAGCCATGTCAGGCAGCTCTGCTATTTATGGAGGCTAGAAATACCCCTCTGCCCCCCGACCATGCTCCTACAGCAGGTCCAGCAGACGCCACAGCAGACTCCTGCCAGCGTGAGCAGAACCTGGGGTCAACCAGGAAAGCTGCAGTTTTAGAGGCTGCATCCCTGAAGTGTGCAAGAAGTTTGCCAACCAGAAATCCCAGTGCTCCCCTGGGAGCTGGAAGAGGTGGGAACCCTGCAGCTGCACACCCAGGGGAAGGGGCTCCAGGTCTCTGCACCCCAGGACTCCCCACCCGATGGTGGTGCCCTTCCCAACGCTCCTTAAACCTTCCTGAGATGTGCCAGGATTTATCCCCGCAGCCGCTGCATATGGGGACCGATGCCCGAGGACATCCCTGCAGCTCTCTTCTGCTGGGATTCTGGGTGCAAAACAGGCTTCATGATTTATCCGTGGGGTTTCCAAAGAGCTGCCCCTGCTCCTTCACCCCAGGGATGGGGCTGAGATGGGAGACCAGAGGCGCAGCTCAACCTCTCCGGACACACGGACCCTCTCCCCAAGCCTGGCCAGACACCCCTGCGCGGTGCCGGCAGCGGGAACTCGTGCCAGCAGAGGGAACTCGCACTCTGCCAAACCCTGGAGATCATCTCCCGTTTTCTGATCCATGTTTCTGAGCAGCTGCGAGCTCAGACGGCTGCACGGGGCATGGAGTCAGCGTCAGGTATAAATGGTTAATATGGAAAATTTCCAGCACTGTCCTGGACTAAGTCACGTAAGATCTCTTACTATAAGGAAACAGGACAAGAAGCCTGAAAAACAACTTTATCTGGAGCTAAGCCTGCAGGTGTGCCACTCAGGATGCAGCACTGGGTACCTACAATAATTCTTTTCCATCCATAGCTCTGACACTCGCAATGACTTGCAGTGGGTGAACAACAAAAAAAAAAAAAGGGGAGGAAGAGTCAAAAATACCAACAGAATCAGAACAATTTCATTTGGCTGCATCCAGAGATGAAGGGCAGATCTGAACGATGTCTGGCTGGCACCTATGGGGTTGGCATGTGGGCAAGCAAATTCAGGCAAGCGTTCCTGGATGTGTTAGTGGGTTATTGGAAAGGATTATTAGAAATGGTGTTAAACCCGGCGGAAAAAGCTGACCCCACAGCATGGAAGGGAGTTATTATATTTGCTCAAACTCCAACAGCACAGCCTGAGCTCGGAGGAGAAAAAATGAGAGGGGTATGTGGACTAGGTAAACTCAAAAAGCAGCCAAGCCAAGCTGAGCAGGGTGCTGGTGAATGGTAAATCCCTGGTGCGATGCTGGACTGTCCCTCTGTGCCCTGTCAAGTCCACCCAAGCGCTCCACCACGGGTGCCCGAGCTCCAGGACACAGCCTCTCCACCCACACCACCTGCAGGGGCCAATTCCCAGGTTACTGGAGAAAACAAACCAGCACCGCGGGCTGCGATCCCCGGCCAAAGCCTCTGGCAGGTGGGGACCCCTCGCCCTGCTCTCTGCCATCACCCCCCTCCCAAACGCGGGACCAGGCTCAGCCCCATGGGCAGCAAGACCCCAGTGCAGCGCCCGGTCCTCTCCCTGCACCCATCCTGCTTGGATAAAGGTCCTGGGCTGACACAGGGGAAATTTTGCCAATACTGATAAAGCAAAAAAAAAAACCTGTTAACAGCCCCAGGAGCCCAGCTGGGGTGGGAAAACCAGACTCTCCCTGGGAAAAGGCACCCAACAGCAGGCAGCGAGTGGGGCTGACGTGAAGAAAGGACAGTCTCTGGCAGCAGTGTCCTCTCCCAGGCCCCGTTATCTGCCTGTACATCTGGCTCCTCCCCATCCTTGGCTGGCATATCCCAGCTCCGTGCTGGATCCCAGTGCTGCACGATACCCCCAGGGCTGGAGCAAGGGACTGGGGACACTGGAGGAACAGCTGAGCCAACACGCTGCCCCAGCTCAGCCTGCAAACCAGCAGCCTTTCTTCAGCCCTGTCCCCAGCCAGGGTGGCCCAATGTGGCATCCTTCTCCTCCATCCCAGGGAAGACCCAGTTCCCAAGGCACAGAAAGCCAAACCCCTGCTCTTCTCCTTTATTCCCAGTCCAGACCTTGCTGCGCACGCTGCCAGGGCTGGGCTGGGTTTGGGATCCTCCTGCCAACCGGCAGCACCAGTAAAAAGTTGCACCATCCTTCCAAGACCCGCTCCCAGCTTTCAGAAGCCAGGTTGGAAAACAGTCCTTTAGGGGCTGGGAAGAAACGGAGGAGAAGCGCTTGCTGAAACCGTGCGAGAGAGAACATGCCCGGAGGAAAACCAGGGCAAGAAAATCAGACTGGCAGGCGGCCCTCTCGCCCGGGGCTCGTCTCCCAGTTTGCTCTGCTGCCCTCGCCGCACAAATGCGTCTCTCCCAGGGCAAGTCGAGCCCACCCTTCGCCTCGCCCGGAGAGCAGGGTGCAGGCGTGCGTGCGGATGCCCTCCCCGTCCTCCTCGGCACTAAGCTGTTCTGCAGCCCCGCTGTGCCCAGCCTCAGCACGGCACCCGCCTCTCCTCTCCCGGATTAATGCCGTGACATTTTGAAACCTCTCTCAGCTCATTAGGCGGTTGCGTAACGCGCCCGGCGCTAACACCATTTAGAGAACTAACCTAATTAATGGTGCCAGCTGCCAGCGTGTGCCGCGCCGGGGAGGGGACAGGGAGGGTGGGCTTGCTGTCCCCAAAGCAGCCAGGCAGGGTGACACTGCCCGCTGGCACTATTAAGGACATCCCACCATCTGGTCGGTGTGGACGTGCATCCTTAAACCCAGGAGCACTGTAACACGAAGGAGCTTCACCCAGCAAACACCGCCTGCGCCGTCCAGGGCTGCGGCGGGGACGCAGCCTCGCTGCCGTGGCAAGCATGCAAGGAGGAGGTTAGCCACCCATCCCTTACCTTCTCTCATTGCCAAAGAGCCGGGCCACTTCTTCTCTCCCAGGGCTACGGGCCCGGGTTCTCCGTTCTAGCCGTTTCCTCTCCACCTGGAAGGCCTCACGATTACTGATCCTAATGGCCTTGGGAACGTCGGCCAGGGTGGTGTACTGCCGGCTGGCTTTAAAAGAAAGGGGACGCCCCGATTTTTCAGCTCCCCTTCCTACATCTCTGTTGCTGGAGTCCTTGTGCATGGGGCAACTGCTCTTCGAGTCCAAGGAGTTCAGAGAGAAGCTGTGAATCATTCGGTCGCCTGATCGGGTACCTGGGGAAGGAAAGGGCTGGGCATGCTCCTGCGAGGGCGATTTGGGATAACTGTACCTGTTGTTCGGGGTGCTGGGGCTGGGTGGGCGCGGCGGGTCAGCTGCTGCTCTTCCAGCTTCGAGTCTTGCTTGGTCTTCTCCAAGGAAAAGTACCCGCTCTCAACACGCGTCTTCCGCCCACAGTCTATCCGGTCCCCGTTCATGGAGTTCTCATCTAAGGGAAACAGAAGTCACTGCAGTTGGTTTCAAGTCCAAGTTCTGATTTTAACAAGAAACACCCCGATTCCACCCAGGACAGGGGCAGAGATGAGAGCAGAGATGATGCAGACCCCAGTCCCACGCCGTGCCACCTCTCACACCCTTGGCTTTTCCACCCTCACCACCCTTCCTGCCCATGGAGATGGTGGGATGGTCTGCAGGGAGCTGGGGATGCTGATCCAACCCTTGGGTCGGGTTTGCAGGGATGAAAGACCAAACCCTTCACACCTAGAAATGAACGGCTGCAGTTACCGCTCCGCACCATTTCCATCCCTGTCCTTCCCAGCCCGACATCGACCACAGCTCTGCAGGTGCCAGGTGACAGGACACCTTCCTCCCAGCAGCGGGGAGCAGGCGGAAAGCGTCCCCCATCCGAGCGGGCAGATAAAGGAAACGGTCGCAGTGCATGGGACCTGTCCCCAGCCCCGGCAGGAAGAGTCCCCAGCCCTCATTGTTCCAGGCAGAACAATGCCGCGGCCCCAGCGCTTTCCAGGGACTCATCAGGGAGATGAAATGTAAACAGGGCTGGAGGAAGCAGAGCTCAGGGCTTGGCAGCCCCGACAGCAGGGCTGAGCACAGGGCAGTCCCACACCCTCCGTGTGCCCCATGTGGGGACACTAAGGGGCTCAAAAACACCTTTTCCTCCTTGTTTTTCCCCCTACGAGGCCAGGCAGCCCTGTCTCCCTGCCGGGGCAGGACTGGGTCCCATGCTGTGTGGTTTTCTAGCACGTTGTGCAGATTTTTTCCTTCCTGAACTCCACCCCATAAGGTCTCACTTGGGTCCCTGTGCGACGCAGCAGGGATGAAGGCTCCATCCCCCCTCCTCGCTGGGATGCTCCAGGAACCTACGGAAAACTTTCCCCTGTATGGTGTTTTTTCCTGGCTCAGCTGCCCAAACCATGTCACCACAATGTCACATCAGTGCCGGCACCCCCGTCCCTCACCTTCCTTGCTGTCCAGCACGGGATCCTTCAGGGAGCTGGCAGCCCCCGCCTGGCCTTGCACTGGGCTCGGTGCCGGGCTGATGCCGCTGCCCCCGTCCGCTTGGTCTTTGCCCCTCAGTTCCTCCTGCCAAAGCGTGGACTTGGTGGCAGGGACCTTCTCCGCGCTGGGGATGTTGCTGCTGGTCACGGCCATCTTAGCAGGACCAGGCTCCTAAAGAGAACGGGGGAGACAGCGGGGTTAGAGGAGTTCGTCCCCGCTCTGCACGCAGGGTCCCCATCGGGCTGTCCCCAGAGATGTGTTTCAATGGGACAGGGACAGGGCAGCTCAGCCATGTGCCACCGCAGCATTCCCAAGGGGACAAGCTCACAGGTGGAAACCCTGCCCCAGGGCAGCGTGGTGGGGTTGCACGTCAGGACATCTTTGGCCAAAGGGACCATCTTGCAGCGAGAGAGGAAACGACCCTCGCTGTCCCTCCCCAGGGAGGGCTCCTGAAACTGGCTGCACCTCCCCACGCATCCAGCTGGGAAAAGATCCAGAGCAAAGGCAAGCTGACAAACGAAGGAGACCCGCAGAGAAACGGGTCTGTCGGGTCCTGACTCACGGGGAACCTGCAAACGCTCTCATCACCTCCACCAAAACCCAGTTTGGGCTGACAGTGCATCCTCTGTAATTGATGCAAACAAACACACCATCCCTCATTTCCCTCTGCACGTCCCCAGTCCCTCTGCATGTCCCCAGTCCCTCTCCATGTCCCCAGTCCCTCTGTGGGCTGGCTCCCAGGCAGCCGCTGCCTTTCACTAACACAGACCAACCCCAGGCTTCTCTCCTGGGTCCCATCTGCTAGGACTGAATTGTCTCAGTGTTATAACTATCATGAAATTTAAAAAATGGAAAAAAAAAAAAAAAGAAAAGAAATCAAGCTAAAGGATACGGGATGGAGGAGAAAATTAATTCCCTGCCACCAGCAGTTGTGTTGTTTGTTTGCCACAGCTGGTTTGCTCCAGGCCACTGATAAAAAGGAATAAAACCCAACCGGTGCTGTACTCCTCCCGGGTGCTTCGGCTACCTAACAGGCGGCTTGTTTTAAAAAGGAAATACAACACTGCATTGAGGTTTATGCTATTTTAAAACAATACTCATCATCTTAAATACTTCTTTAGCTAATAAGAGGCTCTGGAGCCCATCAGAGGATCATCATTTTGGTGGCCGCAGCCCAGGTTCGGCGCACGCCCCAGAAGAGGCGGCAGCTCTCACAACTCGTTCAGGTTTTGGCTTTGTTCATTAGCAGATGCTTTGCTCTTGCTGGTTTAAGCTTCTGCGTTAACAGATTATTTTCCTTTAAGCCACCAATAAATCAATGACAATTAACTCCCCTCCAAAGTCTCCAGACTGAGGGAAGTTTCCTGGCTGCTTGTTCCCTGTCCACGGAGCAGGGGGAATCCAGGAGTGCCCGAGCCCACAGCCACAGGCTGGGGACAAAGAGCATCCCCCCTGTCCCCCCTCCCACGACAGCAGAGCCGCCGGTGGGTTTTAGCCCTGCACCTCCAAATCGGGGGATCTCCCGGGGAGCGGGTCCTGGCTCTGTACGCAGCCACAACAAGCAGCATACGACCTCAACTTGTTAAAAATCCCCTTGGAAATTTCATTCTAAAGGAATGCAGTGTTGGAGGTAAACACTCCAGGGTTCGCGGGCGTCCTGCTCGAGGGGATGCTGCCTGAGCAGCGCATCGGACATGATCTCTAAGGTCCCTTCCAACCTCAACCACTCCTTCATCCATTGATCCGAAAGCCCAAAGCTCATCGCCAGCTCAGATTATATATTTTGATATATTCCTTTCACACACCTCCGTATAATTATTTGTAGATACATCATTTAACTACACAGAGATAGGAGGTCCAAAAAGCGGTCTATAAGGCAAGCAGAGAAATTAACCCTTTGCCACTTAGAGGTACGAACAGCTCCAACAAGGAGCATGCACCAAAATCAGCAAAACCGGCCTCCGGTTGCGTGAAGTGTGTCTGGGCACGCTCTGCCTACCCCAGCCTGCCGCACCCCTGCAAAAACCTGTCCTGCAACAGAGGCCAGCACCTCAAATCCCACATTTCAGCCCCAAATCTTGCCTCGATTACAGGCGAAGGCAGCCCACACTCTCCCGGAGCATGGCAAAAGCTGCAAGAGCAACCTGCCCTTTTTCCCCCAAGACTGCAACCTGCTTGCAAAGCACAGGTGGAAACATCCCTAGAATTGCACCTAACAACCCCTGTCCAAAAAGCAGCTGCTGGAGCCAATTCCCAGCTTCGCCTGCATTGCTCCCACCCGTGTGTTTCTGCAGTGGGAAGATGCAAAATAATGGGGGGAGCTGAAAATGGTCCTGATGCCCTGTACTCGGCTGCAGCCGAGCTCTGCTACAGCACGGAGGAGAAACTACAGGGTAGTGAGAAAAAGCAAAAATATCCATTGGTTTAAAATTCTTTTTTTTTTTTAAATCACAACGGTGTCCATCTCTCCCTGAGCAGCTCTCAGACATGATCTGCTGCAGGATTAGTGGGCGGCCGTCTTTAGAAAGAAATCGGGCTTTCTCCGCCGGCACACGGAGAGTGAGCTGAACGGCAGCCAACTTCAGGAGAAGCCATTTCACAGAGGGGGATTCGGTGCTGATTTTCTCCCCAGCATCCTCTCTCTTTCCCCAGACCAGCTGCCTGTATCAGCACCATTTGGGAGACAAGAGGAAAGATGATACTCCTGCTTTTGCAGGTTGCTTGTGAGCACCAGACACAGCACAGCATCCACGCAGAGGTTGGTTTTGTAAAAGTGAATTTGAGTCTTTTTCTGGTGCCATGGACCTGGGAACAACGGGATGGAGAGGGTAGAAACAGGGGAGCAAGTGGGATGGGGCTTGAGGCAGACGACCCCAAGTCAAAGCAGGGAAAAGTGCCACCAGGCTCCATGTCACCCCATCCCCAAGCACCTGGGGAGCCCGTCTGCCCGCAGGGAGCCAGCATCCTTCCCGCAGCCGCTTCCCTTATTTGGTGCTCAGGAGCTCGGATTCTGTACGGTTTCCAAGAAGTTGCCATAGCAATGAAATGTAACCCAGAATGATGTTTTTCTGGCTCTGCGGCCCTTCTCCTCTCCACCCCGTCCTCCTCTTGAACCCAGCCTGGGTTTAGTGTTGTGCCAGAGATGGGGTGAGCATCCTTGCCCCACTGCACCAGCTCGCTGGGGTGCTCCACGCGGCAGCCCCCTCCCTGGGGCTTGAGGATGGACAACTCATCACTGTCAGCTCTTGGCCAAGGGAAGTGGAGGCATCTTCCCCAGAGCATCCCATGAGCCAGCACTCAAGGGGTTGTGACAACCCCAGCCCTTGGCAGGGGTGGCTCAGACATCCAGCTTGGTGGCAAAAGAAGACTACCATCCCTCCAGTGTTTTTTCCCATTGCCCAGAACATCTTTATCTGATGGAGAGGTGGAAACTTCATTCAAACAAACACCATACAGCACCCACCAGCAGCCCAGTTTGCACTGGGACCATCCTTGGAGACTTCATCAAAGCCGACCCAAATACTGGGGCTCAGGGGAGCCCCAATGCTGTTTCCAGTCCCCCAGTGCCGCACCCCAGCTCAGCCGGAGGAGCCCTCCCAGCCAGCCCCCCGCAGCGGTGGGACGCGCGCCCAGAGGTCAGGCAGCCTCGGGGATGCGGCTGTTCTCAGCCCCGGCGAGGGACGAGGGTGGCCTTGGGGTCACGTTCCCCATCTGTGGGATTCTCCCCCACTCCGGCCATGTGGGAGCTGAGCAGGAACGAGTGAGTCATGGCCGGCCCCGCTTTTTACCATTTATAGTCAAACTGAGCACGAAGCCACTGCCGGGTCCCTGGAGAGCCCGGCTCCGGCCCCCGGAGCTCCCAGCTTGGCCCTGGCCTTTAGTATTTTCCTTTCATTCCCATTATCTCTGGGGTCATCTCAAAGGGGATAACCAGAGCCCGACGGAATTTCATCCTGTTTCTGCTGAAATGGCCCGTGAAGGGCCAGCACCTCTTCCCGCTCCCCCACGGGGACCATGCGGCTTTGCGGCCGCTCCCGGGACAGCGCGAGCAGGGCTGGTGCCACAAGACACAGCTCAGGGGGCGAAACGTGGCCCCAAAACAGCCAGGAAAGCAGTGTGTCATGCTGGGAAGTGATGCCCAGGAATTAATTAATTCACGCCGTCCTGCTGCCCTGGCTCGACCGACCTCTCGCCCTCCACACACGAAGCATCGGAGGGTCCGCCTGGTTTTTGTGGATTTTCCCCGGGAACAGAGCAATGCTGAGAGAGAGACAAGGGACTGGGTGACAGCGTGTGTGTCCCCCGGGGTTACCTGGGGAGTTGGGGGCTCTACCTTCCTCTTCTTCTTCTGATTCTGCTTGTTCGTCCTCGGATAGACTATCAGCATCTCCAGCCATCTGCGGGCAGAGAAAGAGCAATCAGTGAGGTCTGTGCTGACGGGCACAGCGCAGGGACGGGCGCGATGCTCGCACTCCATCATGGGGAGGTAACGCAGCTTCCCGCAGGCTGCAGACCCCAAAGCTGTTCCACCGCCACAGATGGGCTCCAACCAGCCCATCCCACCTCCAGGATCCCATCTCTCCCATGGGAGACGCAGCCCCGGCCCACCGCCA